GGGAGGGAAGGGGGGGGGTCCGCGAGCCCGCCCTTTTCCCCGCCTCTCAAGGAGGCTTCTCCCCACGCGGCCCGTTATAGCACGCGAGGGGCGGAGTAGCCAGGAGTCGCGCTTCTTCGGAAGGAAGGAGGCCGGAGGGGAGGGGGACGAAGGAAGGAAGGAGAGGAGGGAGAGGAGGAAGGAAAGATCCTGGAGTGCTTACGTCCCATATATGCAGCAGGTATGGCTTCGGGTTTGGGGAGTGGGGGAAATCCATTGTGGTGCTTCTCCACGTGGCGAGGAGGGACGGGGATATGGACCCCCACCAAGTATGGGAAGGGGGAAGAAATGGAAGACAGTCTTATTATTTTGGGATGCTTTTCCGTTTGTTTGCTGCGCCTTCCTTAGGTGTATCTACACAGGAGAATGAATGCAGTTTGGTACCACTTGTTACCGCGTGGCTGGATGCGATGGAATCCTGGGGGTTGTCCTTTCTCAATGGCTCAATGCTCTGCTCTCCTAAGGCCCTTCCACACAGCCCTAGATCCCAAAATATCCATATTATCTGAGTGTGGACTCAGGGCCCTTCCACACAGCCCTAGATCCCAAAATATCAACATTCTCTGAGTGTGGACTCAGGGCCCTTCCAAACAGCCCTAGATCACAAAATATCAATATTATCTGAATGTGGACCCAGAATTTTTGTTGTTCATTCGTTCAGTCGTTTCCGACTCTTCGTGACCTCATGGACCAGCCCACGACAGAGCTCCCAGTCGGCCGTCACCTCCCCCAGCTCCTTCAGAGTCAAGCCAGTCACTTCAAGATCCCAGAATATCAAGGCAAAAAAATCCCACAATATCTGCTTTGAACTGGATTATAGAATCATTGAGTTGGAAGAGACTCGGGCCATCCAGTCCAACCCCCTGCCAAGAAGCAGGAAAATTGCATTCAAAGCACCTCCGACAGATGGCCATCCAGCCTCTGTTTAAACGCTTCCAAAGAAGGAGCCTCCACCACACTCCAGGGCAGAGAGTTCCACTGCTGAATGGCTCTCACAGTCAGGAAGTCCTTTAAAAGATTCCAAAGAAGGAGCCTCTCCCACCTTCTCTGATTGTGGACTCAGTTGAGTTGAGAAGTAACAGATAATGTGGGTTGTGGTAGGTTTTTTTGGGCTATATCGCCATGTTCTAGAGGCATTTTCTCCTGACGTTTCGCCTGCATCTATGGCAAGCATCCTCAGAGGTAGTGAGATAATGTGGGATTTTCTGCCTTGATATTCTGGGGTATAGGGCTGTGTGGAAAGGCCCCTAGCTAGCAGTTGTCCAGCTTTCTATACCTGGCCTGGGCAAACTTGGGCCCTCCAGGTGTTTTGGACTCCAACTCCACAATTCCTAACAGCCGGTTAGGCTGTTAGGAATTGTGGGAGTTGGAGTCCAAAACACCTGGAAGGCCCAAGTTTGCCCAGGCCTGATCTATACTGTAGAATTAATGCAGTTATGATCCCACTTTGTTGTGGCTCAGGCCCCTTCCACACAGCTGAACAAAATCTCACATTATCTGCTTTGAACTGGAATATATGGCAGTGTGGACTCAGATAATCCAGTTCAAAGCAGATATTGTGGGATTTTCTGCCTTGATATTCTGGTGGAAGGACATTGAGATTTTACAGGGTCTTTAGTCTTCTCTAGTGAAAGAATGCTGGTCCCTCACCAAACTATGAAATCCAAGATTCCATAGCATTGAACCATGACTTAAAGTAGTGTCAAACTGCATTAATTCAACTATGTAGATGCAGATATTGATGGAATTTTGGGTTTCGAGTACAGCAATGTGCCCCCTCCCCCCTATTTTGCATCCTGGAAGCTTTGAGGTCTTCTTTGTTTCAGCACTTGGTAGATAAGTGGTTCTGGGAGTTTAAATTAAATGGGGCCAGAGAATGTTCATTTGAGATTAGCGATGGTTGCATTGGGTTGCATTTGTCTTGCCGTGCACAAGTGTGTGCGTCTATAAGTGTGCGTGCATTTGAGAGATAACAGGATATCTTACCTCTCTGTTGTTCACATGTGTATGTGCGTCTCTGTACTTTAGTACCTCCTTTTCTGTATAGGAATCTAGCATGCACTGGTTAGTTTTGTGAACCCTTCTCAAATGATTTGCAGTGTCAATCAAGATACTTTGATTTTATAAATTCAGTATCTTTTATCCAAAATCCTTGGGACCAGGAGTGCTTTAGATTGCAGATTTTTAATATTATACACACACACACACACACACACACACATAATACTATCATATATATATTGGAACCCCTCTATATTACTATATGTACAAATCAAGATATCTTGGAGATGGGACCCAAGTCTAAACATGAAATTCCTTTTTGTTTCATATACATCTTAAATACATACCCTGAAGTTAGTTTTGTACACGGTATATTTAGTGATTTTGTGCATGAAACAAAGTGTGCAAACATTGAACAGTCGGGAAGCAAAAATCCAAAAGTATTGGATTTTGGAATATTTCAGAATTCTGGATTAGGGATAATCAACTAGTATAACATTTAATGTCCCATTGTACTTATAGTGCTGCCTCTTGGTGGTGATGATACAGGTAGTCCTCAAGCATAAGTGGGAGCAGGTATATTTTAAGTGTATTTCCAACCACACACACACACATGCATGCTTTGGAAAACATAGAGAAATGTTAACACCCTTGTGGTGTTTGTTTTGTTGTCTGTACCCCTGTTCAGAAGATTTCACCTCACTTTCTGTTCCTATGATAATTGGATTTTGAAAAAAAATGGCTTGTTGTGTAAACAGGGATTGGTGATAAAGCTTCTGTGGAGACACCTTTTCCTCATGATAACACTTTCAGGGGTGAATTTCCCTCCTGAGGGGCAGATTTGCCTCACTTCCTGTTGTCTCAGCCCCTTTCTAAACTAGGAGTCGTTTGCAAGTCAGATGTTTGTAACTCAGGGACTTCCTGTATACTGTTTTAGGTTGTATGTTAATTCACAAGTCTATGCTTGTGGTGTCTCATCACCTATTGATTTGCATTTCAGTGTGTGAACATCTCTGTAGGAAAAGAAGAGGTGCTATGTAATTTTTTTCCTTGTCAGGAGTGACTTGAGAAGCTGCAAGCCACTTCTGGTGTGAGAGAATTGGCTGCCTGCAAGGACATTGCCCAGGGGGCGCCTAACTGTTTTACCATCCTGTGGGAGGCTTCTCTCATGTCCCTGCATGAGAAGCTGGAGCTGACAGACAGGAGCTCACTCTGCTCCCCAGATTTGAACTGCTGACCTTGCAGTCAGCAGTCCTGCTGGCACAAGCGTTTAACCCATTAAGCTAACCAATGATAAGTGATAAATGGCAACGTGAAGGAGAATAGTAAACATTTCCTCTCTATCCAAATGAAGCATACAGTAAGCTTCTTTATTCCTCCCTGGCAGAAGAAAAAAAACATAACAGCAGGAAATAAAATATACAACATTTACATGCTGCCTGATGAGATCATTCAGAATCTGATCGATATGGTTATGTTTCATTCTGCCAAACGTAGAACTAACTTTGTAATGTGAGATTATAAATGGAATACTCATGACGTTCCCACATGAATTTCTTCACTGAATGTTACAGGCAGAAATATAATATGGTGTGAATTGGTTCTGAGCCTGAACCAGTTTTAAATAAACAAGTGGATGATTCAGTTTGGCATACGAAGAGAGCCATCCTGGTATAGTGGCTTGAGCATTGGATTACGACTCTGGAACCAGGATTTGATTTCCTACTCAGCCATGGTTTACCTTGCTCAAGTCACACTCTCTGCTTCTGCAGAAAGCAAAAGGAATCCCCCTCTGAGGAAATCTTGTCAAGAAAACTCCCATGATAGGAGTTGCCTTGTCACTATAAGCCAGAAAGGACTTGACGGCGTGCAACAACAACAAATAAAGGAAGTGGTTTGTATGTTGTGTTGTGTGAACAAGATTGTGAGGCTTCTTGCAGTTCCAGTTGCAGTAAACAAGGATTCATTACGTCTTCTCCTTGGAGAAGGATATGTAATCTTTGCGGGGAAACGTATGCTTCTTCTTGTGTGAGATTTCAAGTGTTTCAAACTGGCATATTTTGGACGCAGAGAACAAGAACATTCTCACATAATGTCCTTGCCTTGTTCACTGTGCCTTTCTTTGGTGACTCTTTGAACCTTAAGACTGCTGACACTTTGTGGCAGATGCTGAAAACATTCTTGAGTATAGAGATAAGTGTGCTGAGTTGGCATGTTTTATTTTGTCTCACTATAAGCATGGTTCAGTAGGTAAGACTGTGTAATCAGTTGGTAATACTAGGTTCTGTCTTGGTTATTTTGAGAGGAAGATTTTCATAGACCTCTTCAAATAAAGTTTGGCAACTCTGCAATCTTGAATTGGGCCCTTTGTCATTGCTGTCTCAGTACTAGATGGCAACACTATTACAGAGATATTCAGGTTTGCGTGTTTTCAGAAAGCCACGTGGTTTGACAGGCATGTCTTGCAGCAGGACAAGGTTTTTGCTTCTTCAGTGGCGTGAGCTGCTCTTTCCTGTCTGATAGCACCTCCCTTCTTTCTCTAGAAAGTGAAAAAGATCTACATGAGCAGCATTTTGTAAGACATACTGGTGGTGTTCCTCTGTGTTGTAATGCTCATTTATTTAACTATTTGAGTATATATTGTCATGGTGATCACTTGTTGCATCTGATCGGTTGTCTATGTTTATACAGCTTTGATAACAGTATTTCAGAGAGCTATGGAAAATATAATTTGACTATCACTGTGGTTATTGTGTTGCATTTTTAATGCCATGCAATTGGGTGTCTTTTATAAACTACTAGCAGTCCCCTGCCACGTGTTGCTGTGGCCCAGTCTGGTGATCTGGAAAATAAAGTAATGAGAAAGTGTTTTCTTGCTGTTTCTTTGCCAGTGTTGATGCGGAGATTGTCTGGTTTGCCTACTCTGGGACATGCCCTTCTTTAAGGGCCCCTTTCAAATCTTTGATACTGCATCTGTCATATACATATATGTGTGTGTGAGGCAGGATGGCCCTTTGTCAGGAAGGCTTTGATTATGTTTTCTTGCCCTGGCGAAGGGAGTTGGACTGGATGGCCTTAAGGCAGCATTTCTCAACCTGGGAAGTCAAGACCCCGGGGGAGGGTCACCAGGGGGGTGTCAGAAAGGTCACAGAATTTTCTGTTGGTCATGGGGGTTCTSTG